GATTTCTCACTTCCTGTCTCTCTGTCTCTCTCTGACTTTCTGGCAAGTGTACATGCCTATAGCAAAAATCTAAATAAATAAATGAATGAATGAATGAATGAATGAATGAATGGAGTCAGAGAAAGGGCAATAGGTGGCTTAGTGGTTCATATGCTAGACTCCCACATGGCTGACCACAGTTTGAATCCCAGACCTGGTGGCTTGAAAATCATGCCAGGCACATGTACGCGCATCCCCAAAAATCTCAGGAAGAGACTGGAAGAGGAGGGATGGGAGCACGGTCATCCCCAAGGGAGTGATTTCTCACTTTCCCTCTCACTGTCTCTGTCTATCTTCAACGAGTGCATGAGCCATATAGCAAAAACCTTAAAAAGAAAAAAAAAATATAGTTTTTCTTCATCAAAGGGATTTTTGCCTCTGGCTTTTAGGGGGAAAACATTTCCTCCTTTCTGTATCAGGAACAAAGTGAGAATGGTCAGAGCCAGATCAGGCAACCAATTTGCCGGCCAGACTCGAAAGGACGAGAGTGCCGTGAGGTCAGCACGGTGAATAAAGATGTGAACGTGAGTCAAGCCGACCCAGAGCAAAGCGAATGAGCTGTCGATCAGAAATAAATATATGTTCCATTAACAGAATCTCCCCTTTTATGGATTCGTTGCTTGCAGTAAGTTAGCACGGGTATCTACCAGTCACTCATGCATGAGAGGTAGTTTGTATAATTCTAGACCAATCTGAGTGAGACGAAGTGACAACGCCATATGGAATCATTTCTGGGTCTGTCAGCTTTGAATGTGCAGTACTTGATTTGTTTGAATTTGGGAACATTTTTACTACTTCACTTTTTAAATGTGAATATGAATGATAAAATGAATCATTATTATTATTATCGTAAGGTATAAATTTGTGTAAGTCAAATTTGCATAAAATGCAATTTACTGTGTTCATTGTTTTGGCAGTCCAGGAAATAATTATAAGTATAGATTCTGTGATTTGTAATTTACAATATTTTTAGCCTGCAGCATAATATTAATTTATTCATTTATTTTTTGTTGAATACCTACTATACACCAGGTAATGCTCAATGCCAAAAGAAATATATAGACTTCTTTTATATATATATAGGCCACGCCGCAATCCCTTCTCCTCCATTCTCCTCTCGGGATCTTGGGCACACACACACGCATGCCTGATGTGAATTTTAAGTCACTGAGTCCGAGACTCGAACTGTGGTCAATTATGTGGGAGTCCAGTGATGTAACCATTATGCCATCTGCTTTTCCCAGCACATTAGACGTCTAATTCATGATTTCCTTTGATGAGAAATGCTATCTAGTTGAAAATAGAAACACTCAAAAGAACTGACATAATTAAATGGGCCTGGTCTCAGGAGTCAGACATATTTTTGTTCAAATTCCAACTCTAGGACTCAGATTGATAGAGTATAAAATGATTAGGGCATTAAAGATTGGGTAAAAAAACATAGAGGGGGATGGACTGAAAGGTAGGTTTCCATTGAGGCTTGGACTATATAGTGTCTAAGGAGAGTTATGAGGTGCAATGGGAACAACAGGAATGATGTGCTTCCATGTGTGTTTTTATATCTCCAACACATTTGTTACAAAATAGCAATCTTATCACACCCTCATTTGCCTCCTTACCTTGGACCTTCAAAACTATGAGCTGAATAATTCTCTATTCTTGATAAATTATCTATACTTGGGTATTCATTCAGTTCTTAAGCAACAGAAAAATGGACCACACATGGAAAATTGGTACCAGTGAAGTAAGTCTGTTTCTTTAATAACAAATATCTGAAAATATGGAATTGTCTTTGGCACTAGGTAATGGGCAGCGGTTGGAAGAGTTTGAAGGAGCAGGCTAAAATGGCCTAAATTCTGCTCAAGTTTCAGAAGGATACATTAAAAATGAACTGGATCTTTTTAGAGATTGGTCAAGGAGTTGTAACCAGAATGATAGAAATATGAACAGTACAGACCACTCCTAGGCAATCTCAGTTGAAAACGAAGAATTGGAAATTGGAGAAAAGGTCATCCTTGTTACACATCTGCATGGCAAAGAATTGGATTCATTGTGTATGTGAACTGATGCTTTTGTGGAATGTTGAATTTAGGAGTGATGAAAATCTGCAAATATATTTTTTAAGCAAAATATTAAAGGATGTATATGATTACTTCCAACAGCCTACAGTGAAATGAAAAATAAATTAGATGACTTAAAGGTAGAATTGATAACTAAAAGGGAAACAAAGTGGAAATTTTTGGAAAATTCACAGCCTGACCACATAAAGAATGAAAATGTATCTTCAGGAGAGCGCAGCCAAAAAACCACAATGGGAGAAAAGCACGAAGGGCATCATAAAGATCTTTGAGGTTCCCCATCCTGTCATAGGTCCAGAGATCTAGAAAAGCAGAATGGTTTCAGGGGTCTAGACTAGGACAGACTCGCTACCCTTAACACCCCCCAGTACTCTCTCCTTCATGCTAGTGCAGCACTCCTCAGCCCTGGCTGTGATTCAAATAATTCCAGGTGTGGCTTGACACACTTACGACTGCTGCTCTGCCTACTGCTCCATAACGTACAGGCAGCAGGTTGTGGTGGTGTGCACATGGAAGTAATTCTGCTGGTGTAAGGAATGCTGGAGCTGTGAAAACATGAAGGCTTTCACCAACTGTACATTTGAAAGGATGTCTTGGATAATTTGGGGATCTAGGCAGAGACTTGTCACAGGAGCAGAGCCACTACAGAAAGCCACCACTAATACAATGAAAAGCCGACATGAGGGGTCAGAGCTGCCACAGAAAGTCCTCACCAGATAAATGCCTATTGGAGCCACAGGGGCAGGGCCACTCTCAAGACCCTAGAACAGTAGAGCTACCGATGTCCAACACCAACCTGGAAGAATTTCAGGCACAACCATCCAAACTAAAGAGCTGAAACATGGACTGGACCCAGCAAAGCTGTAAGAGCAAAACTATCTGACACTTTGAGAATCCAAGTCCTGCAGCAGAGTACTCAGAATGTGGTCCACATAGTAAAAGACTGTCATTGAGATTTGAGGTCTCAAATCTTCAGATGTGCTTGGGCTGTTATCTTATTTTTCTTGTGGACTGGAAATTGCTGTATTTGGGGAACATGCATTTTGCTTTGATTTCACAGGCATACAGCTGGACTTTAACGTTTTGAGTTGGTGTTGGAACAAATTAAGACTTTTAGGACTCTCAGGATGAGACAGATATATTTTGTATGAAAGAAGGTCATAAATTTTCTGGGCCAGAGAGGAAATGCTACAGTTTGAATGTGCCTCCACCATCCCAAGATTCATGTGATGAATTTTGGCTATGATCAGATTAAGAAAGTGAAAACTTCATCCTACCGTTGGATTAAGAAATGGGGCTATAGCCCAGCCATGGTGACACAGGGGATGAGGCACCACGGAGTGACACTGAAGTCATATATGAAGGCCCTGGGCTTGTTCCTGGACTGGGTTGACCTGAACACGGTGAGTGTGTCTATGGGTACACCCATGACCCTGGCTAGCTATCTAGAAAGCTGAGGCAAGAGGACTACAGTGTAGCAAGATCCTGTCAGGGTTTCTCTCTCTCTCTCTCTCTCTCTCTCTCTCTATCGCTCGCTCTCCCCTCTCTCTGTCTTTCTCTCTCTCTCAAATAAATAAAATGAACTTTAAAAAAGAGGGGGGCATGGGGCCAGCAGTTAGCGTAATGGCTATGTTGCTAGGCTCTCACGTGGTCTACCATGGTTCGTGTCCCAAACCCAGTGTCTTAAAACTCACGCTGGGTGCGTGTGCGTGCGTGCCCAAGATCCCGAGAGGAGAATGGAGGAGAAGGGATTGCGGTGTGGCCATCCCCCCTGGGAGGTGATTTCTCGCTTTCCGTCTCTCTGTCTCTCTCTGTCTGGTGAGCACACGCGCCCTATGGCAAAAACCTCTCAAAAAAAAAAAAGGGGGGGGGGCGTCAGGGCCAACAGATGGTGGTTAAGGCACTAGATTCCCACATAGAGGCTTAAAAGTCATACTGGACGTGTGTGTGTGTGTGTGTGTGTGTGTGTGTGTGTGTCCAAAATCTTGGGAGGGGAAATGGAGAAGGCACTGTGGTTTGACTATCCCTCCTGGGAGGTGATTTTTCACTGCCCTATCTCTGTCTCTCTCTGACAGATACATGTAACCAATGGCAAAAAACTGACAACAACAACAAAAAATAAAGGTGGGACCTTAGGGAGATGATTGAGGTTAAGATCATCAGGATGAGGCCCTTGACAGACACACGCTCTGCTCTTTCTGTCTCACTGTGCGATGCCCTTTGCTAACATGGGGCTCTGCAGAGAGACTCCACCAACAAGAAGCCCATCCCCAGAGATAGTCCCACAAACCATACCTCCAAAACCATGACCCAAATAAACCTCTATTCTTTTTTATTCTTTCATTTTTGCTATAAGGAACATGCACTCTCCAGAGAGAGAGAGAGAGAGAAAGCACCCCCAAGAGGGGATGACCACACCACAATCCTTTCTCCTCCATTCTCCTCTAAGGATTTGGGCACACATGCACACATGCCCAGTGTGTTTTCCAAACCCCTGAATCCAGGGTTGTGTAATCATCTATGTGGGATCCTGTCACCTTGATCACCGTATCACCTGGCTGACCCTAAACCTTGATTCTTCATAAATTACCCAGACTTGAGTATTCTTGTTATTAGCAACACAATAGACTAAAACATATAAACTCATACCAATATAAACAAATAACTGAATAAATAACTAAATTAGAAGTCTGTCTTACAGAAGAATTCTAAATGTGATGCAGATACTCCCCTTTCAGAAGCTTAAATCCCCTCCCCCACTTCACTTCAAGTATGGACTGGGTTTTGTGACTCATTCAAAAATAGAAGATGAAAAGGGAAAAATAATCACTTTACAGTGGAGAAACCTGGTAAACACTATAATAACAGCACTGGACCGCTATATGAATTTTTTTTTATTTTTTATTAATTGAGGCACAGAGAGAAGAAGCAAAATGTTCAAGGAAATTTGTGTTTCTTAGATAAGATGTTGGTTTCACACCAATGGAAAAGAAAAACAGATGAATAAGCTCTAGGTCTTCATTTCTTTTTCTCTTATTCTCAGGGCAGGCTAGAAAACAAAAGGACAAATGTAAGTGCTATTTGTAAAACACTGAGTGTTTCTCAAATCGCTTAGATCGTTTTTAGGCAATTTCCGCCACTGAAAACAATTTAGACTATGGGAACACCATCTTTCCACTTAAGACTAAAACAAATTCCATTTTGAAATGGCCACTTTTGTGGAGATACAAAATTGCTTGCTTGCCGGCATGCACACTACGTAGGTATTATCATATGGGCAAAAACTAAGTGAAAACCTGAGAGTGGAATAGATATTACAGTCCGCTTGGAAAATGCAAAAACTATTTATGCCAAAACATTGTGGAGCACCTTGTTTCTAAAAATTATTTATTTCCTTGTTTTTCTCTTGTTTGAATTCTTTGTTTTTCTTATATGTCTTAATCCTCACAAAATATCACAAACAAAATTGGGTGAAACATGCTATGTTCAAACATCTACATTTTAAAGTAGACCCTTTGTCATAAGATAAGATATTCTACGAAAGCTCAGTGTGCTGACGTAGTGGAAATTTAGGAGAAGATATTCACTGTAAAGTGGAAGTTCCCATAAGGTGGATCCTTTTCTCTCTCAGTGAAATGAACTTATTGAACTGTTAGGCTGAACCGTGAGATCACCGATATTAAGCTGTTCCTGACTTCCACAGTGCCCCTGCCTGTGGTTTAGCTTAATGCCTGAGTATTCCCCTGCAGAGCCCTCAACTGGGTGATTCTGTGCACTGTGTCACATAAGTCAGGACAGAAAAATGAGTAACTCTTAAGCTCTGTTTTAAACTTTGAGTTGTGGCTCCAACTTCAAAAGCTAGGTATCCCTGGGTAAATGACTTAACCTTATCCTGTGATCAGTGCTTCATGCTTTCACCTACAAATGGGCATAATGGTGGCACCCAACTCAGCACTGTTTTGAGAATCAGATAAGTTATACATAAAGCGCCTTTGGATGATGCTTGGCAAATAGCTATACAGCCCTTGCTAAATTGTCAATCTTTGCTATGTCAACGATAATTATTATAATTACTTTCCTTTAAAAAAATCAAAATAGATTCACCTGAGTTGCTTGTGATTGTGATGTTTTTAGGCTAAGGCAGCTTGACTTGCAGCAACAAGTTTTGGACCCTGAATACAAAGAAATGACAGATGTCAGAGAAAGTATTATTAGAGTAAAAATTAACATTGATATCATTATCAGTGACTACAAAGTGATCTCACATAAATCACATCATTTAGTCCCACGTTACCACTAGACCCTTTAGAAGGAAGCTCACCAACACCCATTACCCCCAAAGGAGTATAAAATAACAGTCAGACCGTACAGGGAAATACTAATTGACTCAGACATGTACATCTAAACTTCCCCCACTAACGGGTAAAAGCAACCAAGTTACAAACCATCATTCTTCAAGAAAATGTTCAAATTAGTTAATCTCTTTGTTTCATGATCAAATGATTTCAGGCCTTACAAATATTTCTACTGATACATATTAACATTACAAATTTAGAAACAGAACAAGATTTATTAACATTTAATAATATGCCAGAGGCCACAGTGTAGCAGGAGATAATAGCCAAGAACTATTTAAGATCTCGGTTCCATATATATATAAAGTGTCCTTCACTACATAAGCCCCTAAGCCCTAGCCTGACCAAACCAACAAAAATGAAAATGAGACATATCAAAAATGAATGTAACTCCAGTACCTCCTCTGCAAAGCAGGCCTCCTTGTCTTCAGCTTTACAGCACTTATCAACAAACGCTGTGAAATCTCCCATAACTGTTTTCAGCTGATCATTTGTGGCGTGGGGCTTGTGTTTAACCAATTCAACAAGTGCACTGCATGTGAATGAACAAAGAAAAAACCAACAGGACTAAAGGTTATTCACATAAAGAAAAGTGGAGATGGTAAGAACGACAGTGCCACTGTTTAAGATTATAAATCCTAGAGCCAGACAACTGCGAATTTGAGACCCCAGCATACTGCTGTAAATCTTGACATTCTCATCTGCATAATGAGGATAATAAAATCCACTTTCATAGGGTTGGTGGGAGGGTCCAATGAAATAATCAATGTCAATTGCTCAACATCTTACTAAGCATCAGAAAATCTCTCTTCAGTATGTCTCTGAAAAGGATTATATCGTTGTATTTATATATTATCCAGATTTTGGAAGTTATGCCATACAGTACTAGATTGCACAGCTGATGAAAACTTAAAGATCCTCAAAGTTTTAATTATCTTGGTCTTTATTTTAAACGAGTCTCACCAGAAAATCTTTGTATTTAGTCTTTGAAGGTTGTTCTCTCTAAAGTTAACGGTAGGGAGGCTACAGAAAATAAGACCACCCAAACTCATAGAAGGTGGTGGTTCTCTTTCACTGACATCTCCAGGGACAACAATGCCAGATAAGGTTATGGAGGCAGAATAAGTTGTGCAATATTACTCTTAAGTCAGACCATGATTACAGACCCCCTCCCCCCCCACAAGATGACAGCAATTTTCTTGCTAAATTTATTGCAATTACAGTTTAGCAGTAGGGACTCAAATCTCAGGATTCCCATTTCTAGATGTTTGTTCATTCATATCCCATTCTCAAAAGCCACGTTGTGGTGGTTTACCTCACCTGTGGAGTCATCATAGGGCAAACCTGAAATAATCATTCTTGCCTAGAAATAAAATCTCCAGAGTCCTACTAATTTACTGTCCACACACTGCTCTTACTTGCTTGTTCAGCTTTCTACTGAACTTAGCCTAGATATTATTCTACCATGACTTTTATACATACTAACTATCACTCTGAATAATTCGTAGGCCAAATTGTAATATACAAATCTTTTTCCTATTAAGAAAGGCTATTACTTTATTCTCGACACTTTCATCAGGTTAATAAGGCCATTCCGTAAATACTTTTCTCTAAGGAATATGTCACCAGTTCAGAAAAAGGTGCTCGTTTTCAAGTGACAGTTGTAACTATCAAGAATACAAACACATGCAGTAATAAAATGCTCCTCACGTTTGTTTCTTGATTTGTTTCTCCGTGTCAGGAATTGTGCATATATCTGCATGGAAGGTGAATGAGTCAGCCTCGAATTTTTTGGGTTCAAATGTGTCATCGGGTGGCAGAGCAGAAAAGCATGGCCGCCTGTTCACCAAGGACTCTGAGCAGCATTTGGTGATTCTGTCACTCACGGGCGCCTTTTCATGAGCCAAGCACATCTTGTTCAGCACCAGGGACAGCTAAAGATCAGGCAGGAGAAGAGAAATTCAAAAGAAGCAAAGTTGAAAGTTTTCCTAGAACGCCTACTTTCAACCCACCAAAATAAATGTTTTATTTTAAATAGCGACGTTGAATCTAAAACTTATTTCATACAGCAATCTGTTGATCTTTAAAACTATCGTACAAATAAGAGACCTTTTTTTAAAAAGTCATCTTCATTTTGATTGATGTCTACACTTTAAGGATAATTTATATGAGGATATAATTGAAAATAATTGAAACTGATGTGTCCTGAGGTATGTTAGCATACAAAGTCTAATACTAATATTATACTACTACTAACAATTTAATACCATACTAATGCATGAGAGAAGAGACTTTTAAGAATGTGAACATTGAGAAAATGCCAAGATGGAACACTGAATATCTTAAATTTTTCTTCTCAAAACAATTTATTACCTTTAGGATCTTATCTAAATCCTCATTTTGGATCAAGTTAATGCAGGTGACTAAGTACACACACACACACACAGAGAGAGAGAGAGAGAGAGACCAGTGTATGCTCACCCACACATTAGTCTATTCCTGCTTCTAACATTTAGTTTTGTCAATATCCCAAGGCAAATAACTTATCATCATTACATGTTAAAGACTCACATATTCTTCAGCACAGTGCATTCTCTCTGACTCAGGGTGTTTACAGCACCTGCTTCCCAAACTTCCCAGTTTCCTTCCAATCTCCACAAGAGTCGAAGTTTGCACCTGAGGTGACTTCTTGGTGTAACGAATTAAGAGTCTGTAATAAAATAGTCCATATATTTGAATAAGCAAGAAACTTTTTTCTAACATTGTAGGTCAAGCAGAGGATACTGAGCCAAAAATCAACTAAGACACTCTTATTTTCTGGTCACAAATTATCTTCAGCTCCAGGATGGTGGGTAGGGAGTAGACCTTGTTCTAGGCAACTAGTTAAATTTGGCTTTAATTCCAGTACCAAATAATCTTAAGGGCATGAGTTGCCTTACCAGAATTCAGTGATATTAATATATGTATTAACTGAATATTTCAATAAAACCTATTTAGTGTGTAATACACCATATATCAGCACTATGCTAACCCCCAAAGATACACATAGGTGAGAGGAGAGAGGAAATATACCCGATCCAATAGGGATGGTACAAGAATCAAATTAAATGTATAAATACACATAGTATCATATTAACCTGACACAGTATTTAGCATGTAATAATCATTTAGGAAGAGCTCCAATCACCTTCAAAACACAATGTATGACTGTCATCCACTCAAAGGAAGAGACTGTCTGGTTGACTGTTGTCCATAACAGCCATAGTTGGAAGAGTACTAACTGGGCATGTGAGCTTCACAATATCTACCTCCTAAACGATGTGTTCCTACTAGTCTTTACCCCCACAGGTAAAGCCCTATTGAACTGGGACCTTAGTCAAGCAGGGCATTCTGTTTCTCTCTCTTCTTGGGATGGAAATTCAATATGAAAACAAGATTATAATCACCAAAGACTAGGTGCATCTTCCAAACATCCAGTATTTCCCCCAAATAATCCATTAGAAATATAATAGTCATATAATATCCAAGTTCATTTTATCAGATTTTTATGTTCAGTGTATATATTGGTTCATGAGCTACTGCTATTCAGCTACTTTCTATTCAGTAAAATATTGCTATGTTGGGGCCAGCAGGTGGTATGGTGGTTAAGATGCTATATTCCCACAGGGCCAATCATGATTCAAGTTCTGGACCTGGCAGCAACCTATTTTCTTTCTTTCTCTCTCTCTTTCTCTCTCTCTCTCTTTCTCTCTCTCTCTCTCTCTCCCCATCTATCTCTGGTCAAATAAAAAATTAATAATAATAAATAAAATTAAATAAATAATTCTTTAAAAAATATTGCTGTTTTATTTGCCCATAAGCTATCCCTTAACCTTCAAGGCAAATACCCAGTTTCAACATACCATGCTTTGGTATTGATCCTCCAAGCCTACACCCTCCTAGTCTCAAGAGACCAATTCTTTAGGCTGCACTCAAATATAGGGCTCTGTAGTCCACCCATTATTTTATCTGTCCTCTCCAGTCTTTCTTGATAAAGAGTAATTAGAAATATATACCGTATTTCTTGAGGCCAGCAGGTGGCATGGTAGTTAAGGGCACTGGACTCCCACATAGCCAACTGTGGTTTGAGTCCTGGATTTGGCAGCTTGCCTTCTCACTTTCTCCCTCTCTCACTCACTCTGTCCCTCTCTGGTTAAATTTTAAAAATAAATAAATAAATAAAGATAAGTAAAATAATTCTTTTTAAAATAAGAAAGATCTACTGTATTTCTCTTATTAAAAGTGCTGTGCTAGGTAGCCTATATATTAAGTCTTAAATAATTGCAAATTCATCAAGAAAAAAATCAGATTATAAACAAAAATACTTACGCATTTTGGAAACCATATTCTCCCAGCTGTTCAAAAAGTTCACAGTTCTGTTTGACTAAATTGTGAGTCTCCTCTGAAAGAGCCTTAAATTCCTCCATCTGAAATATGAAAAAGCTGTGTTTATAGCATCCACTTGAGAACCAGGTGCAGATCACTTTTCACCTTTCTGGTCAGAAAGAGATCATTCTTTTTGCTCAAAGCTACCCGAGTAGATCTTTAATGTCTTCCCTCAAATGACATTCAAACTGTTTATTTTCTTTGCTAAGGCTATACAGTGTAAGGGGTTCAAAATATTCAAGATCTGGAGCCAGGCCATCTAACTCATTTTCTAGTTATGCAACTTTACTATCTCCAAATTTCAGAATCATTATCTCTAAACTGAGGACAAAGATGATATTTACCTCATACAATTACTCTGTAAACTAATTAAGCTAATGGAATTAAAACAGTGCTTGGCACATAGTAAAAGTCTATGGAGGGACCAGCAGTTGGCATAATGGCTATGTCGCTGGACTCCCATGTAGTCGACCACGGTTCAAATCCCAGACCCAGTGGGTTAAACTCATGCCAGGCGCATGTGCACGCATGCCCAAGATCCCAAGAGGAGAATGGAGGAGGAGGGGTTGTTGGCGTGGACATACCCCCTAGGGGGGTGATTTCTCGCTTTCTGTCTGTTTCTCTCTGTTTTTCTGGAGAGTGCACGCACCCATAGCAAAAACCTTTAAAAAAAAAAAAAGTCCATGGAATTGTGACTGTGATTACAAGTATTACTAGCCCATCTCTCACCTCTGCAGCTGGATCCTATATTCCCCAGATGGAAGTCCTTACCTTGGTCATTGTCTGAAATATGCTGTCTGGCATACAGAAATTTCTTCGTAGAGCAATGACCTTACTCTGATTCTGAATGGTTAAGAAACCATTGTATATTCTAGTAGGAACCCTAAAAATTCTCCAAAACAGATCTTTTCCCCTAAATTAATTTCTCATAAAATTAATCCTAGACCCAGCCAGAGGCATGGTGGATCCACATGGCTGACTGCATAGTTCAAGACCAAGACCCAGCAGTTTGAAAAATGTGCTGAGCACATGTTCATATGTGACCAAAATCCCAAAAGGAGAAACTGAGAAGAAGCACCCTTCTAGAAGAGATAGAAGAGTGCTTTCTCATTCTCTCCTCTCTCAGTCTCTCTCCCTCTCTGTCTCTCTCTCTCTCTCTGGAGCATATGCACTCTCTAACAAATTAAAAAAAAAAAAAAGAATCCAAAAAGAATTTTAAATATTCTTAAAAAATAGATTCCACAACCTCCCTTATGATTTTCTAGTACTTGATAAAACCAATCAGGTTAAATTTCTTTGTATATAAGTTAAACATATTTTAATTAAAGTTTAAATTAACTTCATATTATTCTGTTTTCAGGGATGTATAAAAGAGAAAAATCACAGTCAAAATTATGTGAAACTAGAGACGGCTTTCTTCAGGTCTTTCTCTTCTAGATTAACTATTCTAGGTTTCATTTACCATTCTATTTAACAGGAAAAAATTGATATTATATCAAGAAAAGATCTACATTACTCTATACAGCATGTCACACTTTGACATTATTTTTATTTCCCATTATTGGAATCATTGCAAAGAGCTACTTTTTTTTACTGCAAGAAACCTACTGCATTAGGGCCAGCAGGTGGTGTGGAGGTCAAGTGCTAAATCCCACATGGCCAACTTCACAGTTTGAGTCTCAGACCCGGTGACTTGAAAATCACACTGGCACATGTATGTGCATGCCCAAAATCCCTAGAGGAGACTGAAGGAGGAAGGATTGCATTTCTCATTCCCTGCCCCAAACCCTATCTCTCTCAGGCAAACACATGTGCCCTCTAGCAAAAATAAAAGCAAGGACAGAAACCTACCACTTTGCCGTAGCATGAAGGAGGGTCTGCGGTAGCACAGCACCTCTCCAGGGTGGCTTCATATGCCTTGGCAATTCTCAGCACCATAAGGGTAGAATCATCATGGTGTCTTCTTGCATATTCATACAGAAACCTAATTAAGATGAAAATAAAATAGTTGAGACAAGTAAGAAAAATCATATAACTAACCTGAAGAGTAGCTCATTCCAAAGGTCCAAATTTGACGAGACTCCATGCATTAAAGCTTAGTGGCTAAGGACTTGGGGTACAGAGTTAAAGCTACTGCAATTCAATTCCTTTTTTAAAGTTTCTTTCTTTCATATGAGAGAAACAAGCACTGTAATAAAAAGCCCTCAAGCCATAGTCTACCGTCTAGTCTCAGTAAGCCCAGATCACAGGCAGGCATATATGCACCCAGCATGTGGAGGGGGATCCTGAGATGAAATCAGACGACATTCCCATGTTAGTCCCATTTGATGACTCCTGCTCCACTGTCTGGCCCTACCTGAGTTCAATTCCTACCATTTATTTTACTGTCTCACCTTAGGCAATGTATTAGACTCAGACCCGGTGACTTGAAAATCACACTGGCACATGTATGTGCATGCCCAAAATCCCTAGAGGAGACTGAAGGAGGAAGGATTGCATTTCTCATTCCCTGCCCCAAACCCTATCTCTCTCAGGCAAACACATGTGCCCTCTAGCAAAAATAAAAGCAAGGACAGAAACCTACCACTTTGCCGTAGCATGAAGGAGGGTCTGCGGTAGCACAGCACCTCTCCAGGGTGGCTTCATATGCCTTGGCAATTCTCAGCACCATAAGGGTAGAATCATCATGGTGTCTTCTTGCATATTCATACAGAAACCTAATTAAGATGAAAATAAAATAGTTGAGACAAGTAAGAAAAATCATATAACTAACCTGAAGAGTAGCTCATTCCAAAGGTCCAAATTTGACGAGACTCCATGCATTAAAGCTTAGTGGCTAAGGACTTGGGGTACAGAGTTAAAGCTACTGCAATTCAATTCCTTTTTTAAAGTTTCTTTCTTTCATATGAGAGAAACAAGCACTGTAATAAAAAGCCCTCAAGCCATAGTCTACCGTCTAGTCTCAGTAAGCCCAGATCACAGGCAGGCATATATGCACCCAGCATGTGGAGGGGGATCCTGAGATGAAATCAGACGACATTCCCATGTTAGTCCCATTTGATGACTCCTGCTCCACTGTCTGGCCCTACCTGAGTTCAATTCCTACCATTTATTTTACTGTCTCACCTTAGGCAATGTATTAGAACTATTATAGTCTTCGTTTCCCCCTCTGTAGAATGGGGATAACAAAATCTATGTCATAGGTGGGTTGTGAGAAACACATGACAAACCATGCACTTCCTGGCACATATGAAATGCTCGATGAATGATACCTGTTATTTTTATGTGTATCTGTTTGATTTGAACTATATCTCAAAAGGATGCAGATAGCCAGACAGACAAATAGACAACATACATTCACACATACACATTACAGATGTTCCATGATAAAGTTAAATTAATGACATATAATTTATATACACACAAACTATTTTTAGAGATATTTATCCTAAGGATTAAAAAAATCTGAACTTTTGCTGCAAGCATATATTCTTCTATGCAAATGTTTTAATACAATCAGCTTTTTCACAAACATTTTAAAGGCAGAGAAAGAAAGATTAAGATGCATTCTGGGTAAAATGGAAATTGTAGCAACTCCAAAGAAAAACCTAGCATAGCTTCCTACATCATGAAGCCCAATAGAAGCTTGGAAAGCATTATTCCTTAGCTACTTACGTGCCCAGGAAGACATCCTTTGCCTCAGCGTAGTTTTTGCAAACATCCTTATCCTCAACAAAATCAGCCTCCAACGCCGCCAAGTCAGCAGGCGGGTCGTCGTGTTCTGTCTCAGCTATGCAGTGGGCTTTTTCCAGCAGAGGTTTATCACAGCATTCCTTCAGTTTAGAGGAGATGGAGTCTTGATTGTCACACATGTACTTGGCCAGGTCCGCCTGTAAGGAAGTTGATGCAAATTGTTCAACATAAATTGGTGTGGCTTCGTTTTTCTCCCCAGATCTTCATTATGTTGGCGGAATACATTCATTGTATTCTATTGAATCATCGGAAAATTCATGATGCTTTTTTACATCATAGAAAAATACATCTTGACTTTCCTGATGACCTAATAAGACCATACACACACCTATATGCCTTGAATATACGTATGTTCTCAGTCTGTGCTCCTAAGCCAGAGACTCAGAACTACTAATACATTCCCACTTGATTAAAAAAAAAAATTAAAATTAAAACTAGTCAGGATGGGAACCAGCGGTTAGCGTAATGGCTATGTCGCTGGACTCCCATGTAGTCTACCTCAGTTCGCATCCCGGACCCGGTGGCTTAAAACTTACGCCGGGCGTGCATGCGTGTGTGCCCAAGATCCTGACAATGAAGGAGAAAGGATTGCAGCGTGACCATCCCCCCGGGGGGTGATTTCTCACTTTCTGTCTCTATGTCTCTCTCTGTCTGGACCGTGAGCCATAGAAAAACCCCTCGCAAAAAAAAAAAAAAAAAAAAAAAAACTAGTCAGGAATAGGCACTTATATCAGCTATTTATTAATTTTGCATTTCTGGGGCCAACAGGTGGTGTGGTAGTTAAGATGCTGGACTCCCATATGGCTGACTATGATTCAAGTCCTGAACCTGGCAGCTTGTTTTCTCACTTTCTCTTTCTCTCCCTCTGGTCAAATTTTAAAATAACAAAAAATAAAATTAAAATAAATAATCCTTAAAAATGTGTATTCCTACTATTAAGACATTTTAGGTTTTTTTCATTGAAGCTCAGTGTTGCTTTTCCAAATGCATTCCCCTCAAGTACAGACATTTTCTGTTTTCCAAACATACTCTGCTCCCCCCACCCCCCCGCACAATTAAGTGCAGGTATTTCAAAGCCTAACAACTAAATAAAATGTGAGCGTTTTGTTTTGTTTCGGTTTTTGGTTTATTTGTTTGGTTTTGGTTTTTTGAGAGGTTTTTACATTGATAAAATATCTGACTTAAATTTTCCAAAGAGTAGCATGACAGATTAGAATTCTAGTATTTGTTTACATTTTTTAAACTTTGAAGAGAAAAAA